TATTATACAGGGTGCGCCATCTCATGTCGGTATTGAAACATCGAATGACTTTGATATTTACCAACCGAGTGATTTGGTTATACGTGTTTCTGAAACGTCAATTTACTACAATTTTACAGTATATTCAGATAAGGGATAGATCGGACATAAACAAGACCACGTGATCATCGAACGCTGTAACATTCGGCAGGGACGTATTAAGAGTCACGCAGTACATATTTTAGATAGTAGATGCTGCTTTGCGTAACTTTGTAGTAAATTAGCACGATTCGATGTGTATACGATTGGTGATGGATATAGGATCATGTGGGGGTGGGGTAAGAAATATATAATGATGTAAATATACATAAGGGTTTCAAAATTTTCGCTTCGATTTCCAGCTTCGGATGCCGCCTGATGTTTGGTGAAATACAGTCGAATATAATCTCAAAATGGCGTTTAAATTAGCCTAAATTAAAAATAATCGTATATCTCTTAAAATTGCTTTTAGAATATTGATTAGTATATTTTTTGATTTCTAGGTAAATATGTAACCAAATTAAAACGTTCAAAACGTAAAAAAATGTGCATGGTAGAACATTGTCAGAAAGTAGATTCTTGAATAGGTTTTGCCAAAATGGGTTCAAAAATGTCAATAATTAATTAAAAAATACAGTAGCTTTATAATTACTTATAACTTACCGAATTTGATGAACGACATCTTTTATTGGAAAGATGAGCTTGATGAGCTTTCATCATCGCTACTACCTGAAGCACAAACGTCAATAATGAATGGCTCGACTTGTTCCTCTAAAATATTGTCCAGTTCCCACATTCTCTTTTCAACTTTGTCTTTCACGTGCTTAATACAGTTTTCCCATTTTTGCGCTGTTATTAATTCTAGTGCTTCTATGAAAAGTCCTTTGAGGTCACAAAAAATAAAAGTTGTATTGTGCTTAGCTATATAATTTTTAACCTCTGCCCATATGAGCTCAATGGGATTGAGCTCGCAATGGTATGGAGGTAAACGGAGCACAGTTTTATTTTGACTTGCTGCCATTTCGTCAATGGCGTATTTTTGATATTCCGCCTTGTGATCCTTGACAATTCTTAATAATTGTACTTTCAGCATTGCTTCTTCAAAGTTGATATTTTTCGAGCGGAGCCAATTTTGAACATCAACTTTCCTTGAAGCCGTTGTTGGGACCTTCTCCATTCTTCGAGAATGATAAGGCGCATTATCCAACACAATTACTGCGTTTTCCTCTAAGTTCGGTAAAATTTTTGAAAACCACTGTTCAAACGATTCGCCATTCATTTCCTCGTGGTAATCTCCAGTTTTCTTAGACTCAAAGCACCACAGACCGTCAACAACAAATCCATCCTCAATGCCAATATGGCAGATAATGAGCCTTTTCCCTTTACCTGGAAATCGAAGTACTAACTGGTGTAGATTTATTTCAATAAGCGAACCTTTTTCAAATGTTTTCATCACATTCAGCGAAAAAACATTGAGACATGAGTATCAGATTGCAATAATTGGGATTATTTAGTCATATTGAAAGAAAGAATATTGAACGTCGTATGATTACTCAGCGCTTCACAATTTAATTTAAAGTTATAAACCTTTAAAAAATGAATGATCAGGAACCTGAAATTCGCGCAAATATTAATATTAACAAATTATAACTTTATAAAGCTTAAAGTATGAATTAAAATGATTAGAAATATTAGGAACGGTACACAATATAAAACTTAGTAACTTTTTTTAAGTTTATAATATTCGACATACTTTAAGATTATATTAAAAAAATATTGAAATATCGAAAACACATAAAAACATGGCTTAAAAAAGTTCTAACAAATGAAAATGACAATAAAACATCCACGCATTTTATCGAAAGTTATAAAAGTTTTGTTACTTGTAATATGTTTTATCTGCCCCCTGGAATTAATGTTTAGAACCTTGTTCCCAAGGTTTGAAAAACATCCGATTGTTGTCTATTACTCGTATTTACCTGCTGGATTTTTTAATCCGGTGGACAGTCCATCTAGAAAGGCCCTCCTGGATGAAGTTACAGAATCATCAACCCATACTTTACTTGTAGTGTGTCCTGCGTTTACCCACGTTTCATCAAGGTAATAAATCTTCCTGTTTTGATTTCTATATTTCCCAATTTTTGTTAAATAATCCCTCCTCCATAGCACAATTTCTTCTCTATCCAGTAGTAAACTATTACGACCCCGTTTTTTCCATTTGAAATTTAAATGCTTCAGTAACGCATGGAAAGTTGATCGTTTGAAATTTGGCAACGTTGTATCTCCATTTACCTCCTGCAGTATTTTATCTATAGTAGGTATTTCATTCCTAAAGAAGAATTCATGCACTTTCCTCCTAATCGCATGCTTATCAGCTTCATCCAATGATTTAACAATACTTTTGCGATGTTTACTGGTCATTGGCTCAGAAAAGGTGTGATTTTTTTGTATTGTCTTAACACATTAAACACTGATGCGCGACACACCCCAACTTTGTGAGAAACCTTCACAACAATTTCTTTGATGGTTGATGCCTCGTTCTCCTCGCGCTCGATCTTATATATATTCAAAATGACCTCTTTCATTTCTGCACTCAGGTGTCTTTTTTTAGAGCGATCCTAGGTGGACTACAGGAGTTTACAACTTGATCGGCAGTATCTGTACTACTGGGAATTTTGCGCAAGCAGTTGATAACAATAACAATCAATAACAAGGTATAACAATAACAACGACAAACTCAACAACTTAATAAGATAACAAACGAAAACGTCCAAAGAAATATCAAATTGCAATGATGCACACGACATACGTAACACGTCTGAACCTGAATGTGACTCTGCCTTGATACGACTGCTCTGCCGCTCGGCATAGGCATTTAATTGCGAATTGACCAATGAGGGCTCCTGTTTTACGTCGAGACGGCGGCGTTAGCGTGAAAATCACCCGAATCTTTTGTTTACATCCGGTCTATCTCTTATCTGAATATACTGTAGTAATGTCATCACAAACTCAGAAGCGAAAGCACAAAACATTGACAATTAAAGAAAAATGTGATATTTTAGACCGCATAGATCGCAATGAAACTTTCAGTAGTTTAGCAAGTGAATACGGCATAGGCCGATCTGCTATTTATGACATTAAAAGAAACCACGAAAAGATCAAGAAGTTCGTTTCAACTACTGACTGCGGGCCAGGCAAGAGACAGACACTCAAGAAAGCTAAACATCCAGAAGTGGAAGAAGCTTTGTACATGTGGTTTCTTCAGGAAAGAAATAGGCATGCACCAATTTCAGGACCCATGTTGGCCATGAAAGCTAAGTTTTTTTATAAGGAAATAACAAAAAAAAAGGTGATTTTGTGGCCAGCAAAGGAGAGAAACTTTCTAACGATGCCACCTGCATAGAGCCCTTTAAATTAAGGTTTTTGCTAAAGGTGAACGATTTAAATCTTGACCCGTCACAGGTGTACAATGCAGACGAATCAGGGCTTTTTTGGCGTTTCATGCCTAACAAAACTTTCGTTTCTTGTAACGAAAAATCCGTACCTGGACGAAAAGTAAGTAAAGAGCGTGTAACCATACTACCATGTGCTAACGCTGCGGCCACACACGCGCTTAAGATGATGGTCATTGGGAAATCTAATAAACCACGGGCATTCAAAAACATTGATTTACCTGTACACTATTACGGACAAAAAAGTGCATGGATGACAAAAGACCTTTTCTAAAAGTGGTTTTATGAATGCTTCATACCAGAAGTTAAAAAATGATTAAAAGGTCATAATTTTCCTCAAAAAGCGTTGTTGCTTCTTGATAACGCTCCCGCTCATCCGTCTGAAGAAGAACTAACAACTGAGGATAAATGCGTCACTGCGATGTTTCTTCCGCTAAATTGCACTGCACTGATTCAACCAATGGACCAGAATATTATTGAGTTTGTCCAGCAAGACTATAAGAAAAACCTACTTCTGAGAGCCGTATCAAAAGACCAACCAACAGAAAAAACTTTAAAAGAATTTAATATGAAAGACTTGGTTTTTGCTCTTTGTCAGTCGTGGAATGCGTTACCGTCATCAACTATTAAATCGTCTTGGAAAAATTTATAGCCAGATATAGTCACCACTCCTAGCAACGTTTCACAAATCAGTGTTACTTCGGAAGTTATAGAACAATTCGCTACTGAAACATAGATAAGTCCGGAAGATTTGGAAATCTGGTGCCGTGGAATGGATAAAGAGGAAAATGTTTTTCATGAAATGTCCGACGAGGAGATTATAAAAGAGGTTTCTAATTATACAACAAACAATCAGGAAAATAACGACGACGTGATTGCAACTGCTCCACAAGTCACAGCACAAGACGCAATTAACGCCTTTGAGCTAGGTTTACAATGGGCTGAAGAGAATGGTACATCCTACAACGAACTTTTACTTTTGAGGAGACCGAGGGACAAAGCTCCGATCTCGCGTTATAACAACCTTAAACAAAAAAAAATTGATGAATATTTCCAAGCTCCATAATTTGATAAATTCATTAATGATTTTGATTCATAATTCTTGATTATTTTGGTACATATGTATGTGCATTTATGCTTAATTTTATAATAAAACGTAAGCTCTCCATTGTTATTTAATTTACTAAATTCGACATACATAAACTATGTATAATTTGTACTTCAAAGTACATACATATACATAACATATACAATCTTACCATTGGATATGTAATTTGTCGGATTACAAGGTACTCTTTTGTAAAAAAACCGGATTATAGGGGGTCTTAGGCAGTGCTCTACAATCCGACAAATCCGATAGTGCCCTGCATAATGTTTGTCGGATTACCGGAGGTCCACTGCATTTATTGCGGCCTCAAAACTTGCGTGAGATTGTGAAAACATTTTCCTTTTCGTACGTGAAGGCCACTGATGCTCCTCATATGGAATTTTACATATAAACTTAAATGCCTCAACAAATATAAAACTCACTTTCGTACGCCCACAGAGTGTAGTTCCTCAAGCTATCCACATAAAGGTCACTATGCTCCTTGCACACCGTATTCGAACTCCGGGCGACTGCGACGGGAAGCGGCGGGAACAAGCTGGTTCTGATCACGTCCTCCTGCCCTAAAGCCCATCCCGCACTGCACAGCACCGATATTGACAGGAAAATCGCGTTAGCCATGGTATTCGCATGAATGTGACCGACGTCGGTTATCGCGGTTGAGCCGTTTAGGTATATGATACAATGCAGAAAAATTCACACGGAAAAAGCTTTTATAAGATCGTGAACGTCTGCGGCCTTGGCAATGTGCTTGCCGGCTGGCCAGCGCGGTCAATCGCGTCACGGCCAGGGTTGATTATTCGGCGGTCGGTGCGATTGTTTATCGTAATTAGGAAATTACATAATATCTCGAGCGTTGAGATTTTGGTAGATACTCCAGTTTGCGAGGTATTATGGGGCCATTCAAGTATAACGTAAGTACTAAAGGGATTGTTCGCTTTGTTTATTTTTGATGATATCGGGAATGCGGATCTGGTCAGCGATTTATTTTTTATTTTTTCGGATTTTCTACGAGATTTAGTCGATCTTCATTTGCACACATATGAAAGAGAAACGCATATCCAGGTATCCTCTAAATAATTATGGACATGCTTACTTGGTTGGAACCTTGCTAGTGGCTGAAGTGCGTGCCACCGAGTATATCGCAAAATGGCTCCTCTTCGCCGGGATTGGACTGATTTAAGGAATTTTCAGAAGAGGAACCACGAAGCAGATGGCCTTTTCTTCAAGAAACGAGAAAATCTGACAGAATCCGGAACCTTGTGCGTTCATATTTTCAGTTTACAGTCAGAATGATCGGGGACGAGTTAAATTGACATCACTTTCAACTTCAACTTCACTTTCAACTTCAACTTAAGTTCAAAACTTGCACTTCAGTCAACTTTCAAACGTTCAACTTCAACTTTCAACGGTCACGTCACGTTCAACGTGTCAACGTTCAACGTTCCCAAAAAACGTTCAACGTTAACTTTCCAACGTTCAACGTTCAACTTTCAACTTTCAATTCAACGTTCAACGTCAACGTTCAAGTTCAACGTTCAACGTTCAACGTTAACGTTCAATACGTTCATTGTTCAACGTTATGGTTTCAAGGTTAAATGTTCAATGTTAATGTTCAATGTGCAATGTTCAAGGTTTTCAATGTTCAATGGTGCAATGTTAATGTTCAATGTTCAATGTTCAATGTTCAATGTTCAATGTTCAATGTTCAATGTTCAATGTTCAATGTTCAATGTTCAATGTTCAATGTTCAATGTTCAATGTTCAATGTTCAATGTTCAATGTTCAATGTTCAATGTTCAATGTTCAATTTCAATGTTCAATTCAATGTTCAACGTTCAACGTTCAACGTTCAACGTTCATTGTTCAACGTTCAACGTTCAACGTTCATTGTTCATTGTTCAACGTTCATGGTTCATTGTTCATTGTTCATTGTTCAATGTTCAATGTTCAATGTTCAATGTTCAATGTTCAATGTTCAATGTTCAATGTTCAATGTTCAATGTTCAATGTTCAATGTTCAATGTTCAATGTTCAATGTTCAATGTTCAATGTTCAATGTTCAATGTTCAATGTTCAATGTTCAATGCTCAATGCTCAATGTTCAATGTTCAATGTTCAATGTTCAATGTTCAATGTTCAATGTTCAATGTTCAATGTTCAGTTCAATGTTCAATGTTCAATGTTCAATGTTCAATGTTCAATGTTCAATGTTCAATGTTCAATGTTCAACGTTCAACGTTCAACGTTCAACGTTCAACGTTCAACTTTCAACTTTCAACTTTCAACTTTCAACTTTCAACTTTCAACTTTCAACTTTCAACTTTCAACTTTCAACTTTCAACTTTAAACTTTAAACTTTAAACTTTAAACTTTCAACTTTCAACTTTCAACTTTCAACAACGAAAGAAATGGATGATATTAGAGCATCCACCATATAGTCCCGACTTATCGCCTTGCGATTTTCACATGTTTGAGCCGCTGAAAAAGGTGTCAAAGTGTAAGCATTTTCAGTCGGATGAAGAAGTACAAAATGCCGTAAAAGTGTTCTTCAACCGGCAGCCACAATACGAGCCCCTTCCCACTTCAGTTGGCCCACTTCAAGATTTGTACCAAATATGCCTTTATAAACTAAACATGACGAAACTATTTACTTCTAAAACAATTTATTTTCTCAAAAACATTTTAGATACACTCTAGTCGTAAAAATCCATCTAAGTTGTTCAGATAAAGTTCGAACTACAGATTTTGCTGGCAATAAGGATGTCACATATTAACAGGGACTTACAATTATATGCACAATAGTAGCTGCTGCACACGCTTACGTCTGTGTTTTTACTATATGTCTATACGAGTTTAACCTGAATAAAGTAAAGACTGTGAGATCAAACATATTTCATTCAATACAAATAAACAGAATTATTCTAATTTGAATCCGCGTCTTGCTTTTCGTTCAGCAAAAACTTCCATCGCAGAATCCAAATTGTGTGAATTAGCTACTGATCTTTCGGGAGAGGATAGAGAAGTTGTTGAGTGTGTCTTTAGCCAAAAAAGCTCGACGGTATTCTTTAATAATTTTTAAAGAGCTCATGAAACGTTCAGCACTAGCTGAACCCATAGGCAAAGTCAAAAATAATCTGAATAAACTGCAGTTCCCTGGAAAACTGTCTAGAAAATTGTTTGCAATCATGAACTTCAAATAATCTAGCGGGCTGCCATTAGTAAAATTACGATTTTCCGAAAATGCATGCTCATAAAACTGGCTAATTCATATCTTAGATCTGTAGTGAAAAAATCCGAATATTTTTCTATCAAATTAATGACGCTGGTTTCTAATTCGTTTTCTTTTAGATTGACTAATTTCTCTGGAATCAAAAACGAATATCATTCACTTCACGAAATCCTTCAGTACGTTCTTGCAATTCGTTACTCATTGAATCCAAAACTTCGTAGTAATTTATTCGATGTTTTTCGTGTGTTTCCAGTGGCGAGTCAGCAGCTTCTTCTTCGAACATTTTTTTGATTTTCCTCTTTCTGACAATGGGAAAACCAGGATTTTCCCATTCCATCACTTTCCAATTAATCTTAGCCTTCAGAACAAAATTATCGTATGTGCTTTCGTTCCTCAAATCTTTTAATTTTTTTAAGCTGCTGAAATGCACCTTTGAGCCATCATCAAGTCTATTTCTTTCTTTTGCATTTGAACCTGCACGGTATTCATTACGCTCAATACTGCCACCAGAACAAATTGAGGAAAAAGTCCAGTTCATGTAGGAAAGGAGAGATCTTGCATTCATTATATATTCGCCAGAAGCTGCCACTCTTGAAATTTCATCTTCTATGCAATTGATAATTAATTCAAAAAATATCTTCCACGATATTGTCACGCAAAAAATAGATATGTAATCAAATAAAAAAATGCACAGTGAAAGTTTATGGTTATAAGCATTGAAGACGTGAAAAGACTGTAATAATAATAATAATAATAATAATAATAATATTTATATTTATAGAAGCATTAGAGTCTCTATTAGACTGAAAGAGGCTGATTCATACCACGAAGATATTTATTTACCAGGTAATAATATATCACTGAAAGCACAAAATGAAAAAATAACCCCTCACTCCTTGAGAAATAAAAGGGTCATTCGGTAATTTTTTAGAAATGAAATAATCATTTTTCAAAAAAACTTCTTAAGAAATGAAAGGGAAATTTTCTTATTCAAACTGAATGCTAACGCGCTGTTTCATAAACATTACGCAGATGCTCATTAAAAGGATATAAGAACACTGATTTCTTGTTATCAATTTTACATTCAGACGCGCTGAACAATATAGACACTAAAGCTGTGCCACCCTTCCTTGGAATTCCTTGGGGGGGCCCAGGTGGCAATGTCCATTTTACCATTAGTACTTAAGTCCGCCGCTGTGACGGACAACGCCCCCCCCCCCTGAAGACGAGTAGAACGTCTTCCTGAACATGAAGTTTTTTGACCAGCGTGACCCCACCCAGACACAAATCCTGGATCCGCCGTTGTTATGCATACAACGTCTGATAAAGACTTGTCCACAGCTGGTGTTAGTAAAAATTCTCCAAAACGCTCGAAATCTGCATAAACATTTTAATTTTGCATAAATATGTACCCAAACTACATTACCATTGATGTATTCGGTAGAAGATTGAACAGAAACAGGTATTATGTTCCTACTATGATCGACTATAGTAAGAATTCTTGGAACTAGTCGAAATTCAACGTTCGCGCGTGATATATACTAAGTGACATATAAATCCGAACACGCAGTTTAAATGGTTTTATTTTAATAAAATTTTGTATAAGTACTTAATGAAGCATAATAAGTAAATGATAAAAATTTCAAAATGATTGCACTACTTCAAAGCCCTTTGACCTTTAATAATGTGTGGATGCACCCTGATGTGCTACGCATTCTCCAACGCGCCTAGGCATGCTTCTGATCAGGTGGTCAATGTCCTCCTGTGGTATCTCATTCCAGGCAACCACCAACTCCTCTCGAAGTGCTTCTAGAGTCTGAGGAGGACGTTGCAAATTGAGCAATCTCCTACCCATCATATCCCACACGTGCTCAATTGGGGATAAGTCGGGAGATCTTGGTGGCCATGGTAACAATGTGACATCATTATGTTGAAAGAAGTCTATTGTGACTCTTGCAACATGTGGTCGGGCTTTATCTTGTTGGAAAGTTGGATCTGCCAGGGTGTCAAGATAGGGTAAAAGATGGGGTTCTAGAACTTAGTGGATATAACGCTGCGCGTTCATGTTACCTCTGATGAAGATTAAAGGTGACCCGGAACCATAAGCTATAGCACCCCAAACCGTAACTCCAACAGTGTGATGAACATGTCTTTCAACAAAAAACTGTGGATTCCTCCTTTCACCACGTCGCCTTCTAACCCTGGCACGACCATCGTGCATGCCTAAACAAAATCGAGACTCGTCACTAAAGACAATACTGTTCCATTCCTGATCCCAGAGTGACCGTTGTCTGCACCACTCAAGGCGATTACGTCGGTGTTCTCGAGTTAAAGGGAGGACCCAGTGTGACCGGTATGAAAACAAGCCAAAACTTCTCATTCGTCGGTAAACACTTCGCATGCCAATAGGTCTTCCGTGTTCTGCAAACCATTCATTTGCAATGGACCTGGTAGTGGAGAAACGGTCCCTTAAGGCCAATAATCTTAGGCGGCGATCTTCACGGTCTGTTGTTCTACGG